CTTTCTCTCACTAACTTTATCTGTAAAAAAAAAAAAAAAAAAAAAAAAAAACAGTTACTTGAGCCACCCCAGCTGTCTCCCAGGGTCTGCGTTAGTAGGAAGCTGGAGCTAGCTATTGAAGCTGCGGCACTCCAATATGGGATGCGGCATCTTCCTCGCGAGGTCAAATGCTCACCCAAGCGTGTTTAAAACCACAAGTTTGGGGCAGGTGCTTAGTGCAGTACTGAAGATGTTGCTCAGGACACCCCCGTGCCTGGATCTCTGCTCCCAGTGCCAGCCTCCTGTAATGCACACCCTGGGGCAGCAGGTAATGGCTCAGGTGGATGGGTGACCCAGGCTGAGTTCTGAGCTCCTGGCTTCCTTCAGCCTGGCCCAACCCTGGCTGCTGTGGGCATTTTCTGTCTGTTTCTCTCTGCCTTTCAAGTTATGTGTATTTCACTATATATTTCAAATACACACACACACACACACACAAGTCCACAAGTCCATTAACATTTTATTGGTCAAAGCAAGTCACATGGCAAGACCCAGCATTAACACCAATAGGAGGCACTGCAGAGCCACATGGCAAATATGTGGATGTATGGTTTGTCCCTCTGCATCCACGAGTTACTGGTTTTAGGACAGTCCCCTCATGGACACCAAAGTCCACGGGTGCTCAAGTCTCTTACATAAAAGAACAGTAGTGTTTGCAGATAACCTGTGCACATCCTCCTGTTTGCAGGCATCTCACCATATCTGTGGATTCTGCATCTGTGGATTTAACCAATGGCAAATTGAATACACATGGGAAACATAGTATACCTGTATTGAACACTTAAGACTTTATCATTGTTTTCTAAACAATAGAGTATTAGAACTATTCACATAGCCTTGACATTGCAATAGGTCTCTCTCTTTTTGACAGGCAGAGTGGACAGTGAGAGAGAGACAGAGAGAAAGGTCTTCCTTTGCTGTTGGTTCACCCTCCAATGGCTGCCGCTGGCCGGTGCACCATGCTGATCTGAAGCCAGGAGCCAGGTGCTTCTCCTGGTCTCCCATGGGGTGCATGGCCCAAGCACTTGGGCCATCCTCCACTGCACTCCCTGGCCACAGCAGAGAACTGGCCTGGAAGAGGGGCAACCGGGCAGAATACGGTGCCCCGACCTGGACTAGAACCCAGTGTGCCAGCGCTGCAAGGCGGAGGATTAGCCTAGTGAGCCGCGCGCC